CTCATCATCATCTTCTCCATCATCCGAATGATGATCTCCATCTTCAGTTTGAGCTTGAACCCGCTGAGGTCACTTTCTCCGTTTCAGCACTTAGCTTGCCGTCAAACCCTTCCACAAGTGATTCTAGAAGCGCCTTCACTCCGCTGCATTCGTGTCCCGTCGGTAGTCCAATCACTCCGCAATTGTCACAAAAGGTTGCACTTTGGGATTCATGTGGCGATGATGGTCCCAAGTGAAGTTTCAAATCTCCCAAGGTTCTCTTGCTCCTCAATCTTCTATCTTTGTTCCGCAGTGAACAATTGACAACCTTATGTCCCTCCTCTCCACAATAAAAGCAAGTCTCACATTTCACTCTTGGGGATTGACTAACTACTCTTTCTTCAAACTCCACCTTGAATTCTCTTGTATTGGAGTCTAAAGACACTATAACATCCAAGCCTTGAGGTACTTTGGATAACCTAACCTTCCAGCCCCCTTGATCACTCATTTTTCCATAAGGTGGAAACCACTCAAAAGGTCTCTCCCAGAAACGTTATCTACTAGGCCAAAACTTCAAATAAAGAAACCCAAAACTTTTGCTATCTTATCGTGATTTTGTACCCTCTGAACTTCAAATCATCATAACTTCGTCTCTAGACGTGATCTCTCACACGTAGGTAATCTTTAAATACACACGCGTACGAAGTTTCAAAGCCTAACTTGAAATACACAAAAATTAATTTACTCTGTACAAACTTTCCAGAGAGCAAACTTTTGGTACCCGTGAAAACCCACTCAACTTCTAACTCTCATATCGTTCTGTTAACACATGATCTAGACCTGAAACAAAAACGTAAATGTTCTCTATCTTCTACTCTAAAATCAATAAAAACTTTGAAAAATACCTTCAAAAATATTTTTTTGGTGTCTAAGATCACTTTTCTCTCAAAAAGACATATTTACGTGTACAAAACGTACAAAATCACTTCTAGGCTATCATATGAGACTATTGGATAAACAAAGGGATTTTTGCTCTCAAGCACACTCTCCGCTCTTTCATTCCCCAATGTTAACACCAAGTGATCCCTCATGGATACTTTCTCTCTAGCTAGAAATCGAATCCTAAACATTCTGCCTTCTAGATTGAGGTCCCGGCAACGGAACCAAAAATGCAACCTCCGGGCTGACTCTCACTCAGGTTTACCTCAGATGGCTTTTCGGTAGCTCATCATGATTCTAGAAGACTAGGATTCCGCATCATACTCATAAGCTAAACACCCTCTCACACAATCTCTCAAGGTATCACTCCAACTCATACACTCATAGACACTCCAAGGTACTGAAAATTCGTCACTATTTCATATATGAAACAAGTCTCTACATATGAACTCTCCAAACTTGCTTGAGAGTCTCTTTCCTACCTCTCTATATATACTACTTGAGAATTTACCATAGTAACAAATGGTAATTTCTATCTAACTTACTTTTACGAAGATAAACCATAGTAAGGTTGACTAGTTATCAATATGTGGCAACATGCCATTGGCCCCCTAAACCTTCTAGATGTTTACTAATCCCTAGATTGAGGTGGCGACATGCCATTTGTGCCTTTCCAACTTCTAGAACTTCCACTTTCCACTAAGTCAACATAAGACTTAGTCTAAGCAATGGAATACTCCTTACTTTAGTCAAACCAATCAAAACTAAACATGAAGTTCAAAAGTCTTTTCTCTTGGAATCTAGACTTTTGTACAAGACAAAATAGAAGTGCTCACTCAAATCTTCTAGAACTTCTCTAGTTATTCCGCCAAGTATAGACATTATAGCTAAACTAGCTAGACTTAGTCATAACTAGCTAGATTTAGTCATAACTATCCTAACCATGATTAATCCCTTGGCCAATTCTAGTTTATTTCACACATGCAATATCTGGTCTTACAGAGCTTGCTTCAGTCCATACAATGATTTCAGTAATCTACAGACTAACCTCTCCTGGCATTTGACCTCAAAGCCAATTGGTTGTCTCATGTAGATCTCCTCCTTTAAATATCCATAAAGAAAAGCTGTAACCACATCCATATGATCCATAACAAGACTGAATGTTGCGACCAATGCACATACTAGACAAATTGTAACGTATTTTGCTACAGGCAAAAAAACTTTGTTATAATCGACACCCTTTTCTTGTGTGAAACCTCTAGCCACCAATCTAGCTTTGAAGATTCTTGCCTCATCTCCCGTTGGATTGTCTTTCAGCTTGTACATCCACTTGGAGTCAATCACTGTCTGATCTTTAGGAAGCTCAACCAACTCCCAAGTCTTGTTTGTCAATCAGTGACTGCATCTCCCGCTCCATAGCAGTATTCCATTCAAGCTTGTTGATTGAAGCTTGAGCTTCTCTAAATGAAGAGGGTTCACCTTCTTCCAAGATCAACGCCATACCATCCTCATCTTCAGAATCAATGTCGCGATCTTTGAGAATGGATGAGTAGGCCCATACATCAAATCTCTTAGGAGCTCTACTAGATCGTTATTATCTCCTAATAGATGTTTCTGTTTGATCTCTCTCGTTTGGTATTAAAGCAATAGGTTCACCAACAATAGCCTGCTCTGAATGAGCAAGTTCTTGTTCCTCAAAAACTTGCTCCACATGTATTGGTGCTTCTTCATGTGAATGATCATTAGTGATAGAATGATCAAACTCCCCACAACAACATCCGTGAGTAAAAATTTCCCTTTGTTAGCCTCCACATTCTCCCCCTCTTTCAATAAGCTAGTCTCATTGAAAGAAACATCTCTACTAACAAGCATCTTATTGGCAACTAGATCTCATAGCCTGTAACCTTTCACGCCGCTAGCATATCCAAGAAAACGACATTTCTTGGATGTGGGATCTAATTTTGTCCTGTGCTCCCTAGATATAAGAGGATAAGCAGTAAAACCAAAAGTTCTCAAGCGTCTATAATCGGTCATCCGTTTATGTCTCAGTTCAAACGGTGTTGAGAAATTGATTGCACTATAAGGAGAAAGGTTTACCAAATAAATTGCGGTGTTGACAACTTCGGCCCAAAATTCCCCTGGTAAACCGGATTTGCTTAGTATACTCTGCACCTTCTCCAACACAGTTCAATTGAGTCGTTAAGAAACAACATTTTGTTGTGGAGTATAAACCGTTGTGAAATGGCGAGTAATCCCCTCCTCTTTACAATACCTCTGAAATTCCTCACTAGTATACTCGCCACCATTGTCTAATCGCAAATATTTCACCTTGTGTCTAGTCTGAGTCTCAACTTGGATGCGCCAAGTTTTGAAGGTGGAAAACACCTTAGACTTGTGGGTAAGAAAGTATACCCACACATATTTGGAATAATCATCTATAAATGATACATAGTACAACTTTCCAGACAGTGAGGCAACAGGAGAGGGTCCCCACACGTCACTATGTACATACTCCAGTAACTCGTTGGAACTATGAGTTCCAACGCCAAAAGTTTGCCTATGTTGTTTTTTCATGATGCAGTGTTCGCAAAATGACAAATCAACTTTACCCAAACCGGGTAATATCTTTTTCTTGCCAGAAGTTTTCATTTTCAATCAATCATTGAGGGTAGTGATACTGGACATGATGGCCATGCCTGTGGAGGAATGGCGCTTGCTAGGCGAAGCCATACGTGACAATGCCACATTAACAACTGCTAACGTAGAGAAGTCTGTAATGAGACTCTCATAAAAATAGCATAGAGTCTCAAAATCACATCTTAGATTCTCAGACCTTCCTAAAAACTAGGGACTAGAATAGCTTGCGTGCACTGCTAGCTTCGATGTGAAAGAACCCGTGTTGCATCTTGGAAACCGACGTCAGGCCAACTTAAGTACAAACTCTCTCTTGCAATACTCTCATACAAATGAGAAGAAAGTTTTGAAATGAGGTTAGATCAGCCCCCTCTACATGTTTAGTCAATATCAACTTTCAAAGTTCTATATGGTCTGTCCCTAGAAGTATACACGTCTCGCAAATGTTCTGAATCCTTTTACAGCACAAAAGAGTTATAAAACCTATACTTTACGTACATTTACTAGCGTTTTGGGGTTATTTTTAGCTGAAGTAGAGCAATTGAGAATGTTTCTCCTTCCTGAGGTAACTTGCAAGCATGCGCTGGTTGAGACCTACATGGCTGCTTAGTTAGCTGCTTAGTTTGCTTAAATCTCAAATATCGTATACATGTACAAACATGCCAACGTTGAACATTACATAACAATTAGGGAATATACTTGTGAACTTTTAAACAAGTACGATGAATTTGCCGACCAGGCAGCTAATATTTGTATCATTCTGGAATCTAGCTCGAAAGAGTTGTAGATGACTAATGCTGAATCAAGCACTACTCTGTTGGAAACATCCGTTAAGAAATGCCAGGTCTACTATTAGCAAATTCTTCTGATATTCCATCTCTTGACAAGGATTCGTATGGCTTCTCAGTATCTAATTTAACAATGATTTCACCTCACTTCAACAATAACGTGAGGTCATCAAAATATTTGAAAACTTGTTTTGAATGCTGGACAAAATGATAAATACCGTAAGCTTAGGCTAGATTCGTGCATGTCCCCGCTTGAATCGTTCTTTGAGGTGGCATGATCTTATACTGTCAAGGTCCATAATGTCTCAGCCTGAATATCGTAGCAGCGTAGAGCTCGTGTGAGCTTGGGAGAAGCTGGAGTATAAATAAACATTGGAAGAAGTTAGGCTCAGAAGTTGCAAAAGCTCAACTAAGAGCTTCATTCGACCCTTGCATGTAAGCTCAAAACGAATTACGTTTTGTTGCCAGTCGTTGATTTATCAGTCTATGCCACTTTATGAACATGCCATATTATGGGTTGTAATATGTCTTTAGAGCAACAATGTTTCCGTCGAATCTCTCCCCAAATTGCAGCTTGAACTGTCAATGCATTTTATTCACTCGTATTGATCAAAAGGCTGTGTGCAGGGAGGTGGAAGTGATCGTCTGTGACGATTGAGCTACCTTTGGCTGGTCGCAAAATATTGCAACTTTTTAGTACTCGGACATCTAAACAAGTGATCCAGAAAAATGGCCACCAGAGGTTCCCAATGGTTCCTTTGGATCGCTTCGATTCTTCTGATAGCAGTGGTATCACAAGGGCAGTTAACCACTGACTTTTATGACTCCACTTGCCCGCAAGCTGCCACAATTGTAAAGCAAAAGGTCGATGAAATCGTTGACGCCGATAAAGGAATGGCTGCAGGTCTGATGCGCCTGCATTTCCATGATTGCTTCGTTCGGGTAAGCTCGCTTTCAAAATGCAGCTGTCAAATTGCTGTGGCCACCTAAGTGTACATCGCGAAAACAGGCTCCTGCTACGTACATCCTTCGGGATCGCTCTGGGAATGGCTTCATGACTGTGAATGCTCGTGCAGGGCTGCGATGGATCGGTGCTTCTGATTTCGACCAATACTACACTCGCTGAGAAAGAGGCGCTCATAAACAACGGCTCCCTTCGAGGATTTGAGCATATTGACGATATAAAGATGGAGCTCGAGTGCGCATGCCCAGGTGTCGTGTCGTGTGCCGACATTTTGGCCATGGTGGCGAGGGACGCCACTGTTAAGGTACATACTTCGGTGGTCTAGTTACAAGTTACGTCGCGTGATTCAGTGGGAGTATTGAGTATAAAGTAGTCATATAACATATTGTCGGCCTGGACAGAACCTTTGATTGATCTATGATAGTAAACATCTGGTTGTACTGCGCAGCTCGGAGGCTTGAGCTGGCCAGTGTTTCTGGGCCGCATCGATGGACGATCGTCAGTTGCAGACGAGGTCAACACCAGTCTACCATTCCGAACATACAACTTCTCCCAGCTAGTTGCGACTTTCGCCAAAGTTGGACTAGACACCAAGGACATGATCGTCCTTTCAGGTGGGTGATTGCAGTTCCTTGAGAATCTTCCAATTTTAGAGCACGGTGACATGTCCAGTTCTTTGTTCGCATGGGACGCATGTGTTGCCATGAACGATTTGAGAGAATGTGCGTAAGGCAGTAAACTCCAACGATGTTTTGCTGTATCTCAAAGCCTCCAGGTGATCACTTGCCTTGCGTGAAAGACCTCAATCTGCAAGATTCTTGAAGGTTTGTAACGCAGACTTGTGAGTGTCCTCATGCAGGCGGGCACTCTATCGGACAACTCCACTGCGGAGCATTCTTCGAGCGCCTGTGGGACTTTCAAGGTCAGAATATCACAGACCCATCGATGGACCCGGAATTCGCCGAGTCTCTCAAGGCCCAGTGCCCTCGCGACAACCCTCTCCTCTTCAAAGGGGCCGATTCCACGAACGCCACATTCGACGCCGTTTACTACTTGGACCTTCTGACCCGCAAGGGCCTGATGGACTCGGACGTGGCGCTGATGAGCGATCCCTTGGGAGTGGAATACGCCATCAAAGCTGTGCAGGACCCCTACTCCTTCCTGTTCGAGTTTGGAATGGCCATGATCAAAATGGGCAACATTCCAGCGAGCGATCCTTACGGCTGGAGGAAGAATTGCGCAGTCATTAAGCCATGCAACTTCTGAAATCCATAGAAAACAACTCAGATAACGTCTCTCATTGCAACTGTACGGGACAGAGAACAGGCTAAGAAAAAGAAACAGGCTAAAAGTCCGTAGCACTTTTACAACTTCATGATCTTCGGATTAAATCACGTGTAAATATGGTTCACATCAACTTCATGAGACAGGTAGAGTACTTGAAGTGAGATTACTCGCCCATTGGCGACAAATGTCCATTTAGTACATTGAGAGTTTATATATCAGCCATCTCTCATATCAATAAATTGATTTCTTCTTACTTCAAACCTATGCCCTGAATGCGTAGTTACTCGCAAGCTATAACAAAGAGAAACGTTTCTGCTTTAATCTTTATAACTGCAAACTTTCGCATTGGAGTTCACGGCAGTGTCTACATTGATGACAAGAGCCTCGGGGTCCGAATGAGTATTATCTGGAGTTCAGTTTTAAATTCAGACCGTTGGAGGTTACGGAGAAGGTAACCAAGCATTCGAAGGTCCCAGAAATGATGAAACTCAAAGTGATTGTAGTTTGCGTTTCATCTCTATCATGCTTGGATGAATTCCGAGAGCATGAAATATGAATTAGAAAATCATTTGTAATTTATTTCATGCTTGGATGAATTCTGAGAGCATGAAATATGAATTAGAAGATCATTTGTAATTTATTTGGTAAGAATTGTGAACTTTTAAAGCACTATATATGCTTTTGCAATGTTTTATAAATGATCACTTCACTCGAGTTTGTTGAAAAAGTGTGCGATGAGATTATGGAGTAGAAGCCCTGTGGCTATCTGGAACTATGATGGTATCAGATTTTGGCTGATTTTAATTCTATTCTTAAATGATAAAGGTGGAATATTTGATTGCAGATTTCTTGCTTATGATTGACAAAGTAGATTGATTAAATAAACGAAATATAGACTTAGAATCAAGCCTAGTTTTAAAAAGATCATGGAGTCTAAAATATCATGTATTTAAATTTTCAATTTGAAATGATAAACAACAAGCCTTTATATCTTCCAAAATTCCTTCTCAAGTACAAATTTTTGAAAGAAATAAGATTTTGATTAGCGCTTAATTATAGATCAGTGTAGTTTAGAACTTGTTATCCATTTTCTGCAAATTTGTATATGCAGTAATGCAATTGATTTTCTTTAAAGGAAAATAAAAATTTATCAACTATTACTCTTCTTGTATCTCACCAGGGTTAGACTATACTTATGCATTTATAAAGATATAATATATTTTTTCGCTAACTGATAAACATAAAAAATGTATATCCAGCTTGTAGGTTACGATTGCGTTGGCATATTCTCATGATTTCATTACCATCTGTTGCAAATATGTTATATTTATTATTATACTGTTTTTGCAATAAAACATAACAGTGAAGCTACAAATCAGCAATGCTATAAACCATTGATGTGGAAAAATAAATTGGGATTCAAATCCTCTGTAATGGATTAATGCTTCTGTAATCAACTTTTGTAAAAAATTTGTTTTCTAAGTTGCTGCATATATATTATTTGGCCATAATATTGTACGAGATCATGAATTTCAAAATAAGCTTTGGGTATGTGTATAAGTTGTTTTATGTTGTATAATATAATTCAACATAAACATCATGAAACTAAAGGTTTGATTGTACTTTTATATTTTCAGAATTAAATTTTTAAAAATTTGATGCTTCAAACATTTTCTCTTTTTTTCTATAAAAATGTTATTTTTAATATTTCTCTATTTCTTCTATTTTTTAAATTTTCAAATTTTAAATTTTTCACACTACAAAATTTTATCATGTAATATGTAAGGAACATAAATTTATCTTGAAAAAATATAGATATATTACATTGAATGTGAATTGAAACAATTTTATATAAAAAAGTATTATTTTTTTAACTTTTCTTAACTTTTTTTAATTTCTTTGGTAGTAATAATTTAATAAAAAGCTATAAATAATGATAAAATTATTATTCCAATCTGTATTGATTTTTAATCTTCTTCTGAATAGAAAATAAAAAGAATCAGACGCCATTTTAATCCATTGGCTTTGCAAAATTCTTAATCTCTTAATTTCTGTCATAAGCTTGTCTTACATTTTTACAAAACGTTGAAAAAGTTGTCAAAATAATAAAATAATTTAGTTTAGTTTAATAAAAACTTTAATTATGACTATTATTGTTCCACACATCAATAAAATTTTGAATAAAGAGATTCAAAAAATTAAATTTCTTAAAAAATTCATAAAAAAAAGTTGATGATAATAGGAATTAACTAATGTTTTGACCTCAAATACATTTTTTGCTAGTTAATTTATTTCATAAATGCTTAAGTAAATCAACAATATTATTTTAATCACAAATGAAAATTTTGAGTTTTTGAAGATTTTTGTTGAAATAATTCTTTTATGAAAAAATGAATTACTTCAAAAAATGTATATAAAGATACAAATACAGTCAAAAAAAGTGAAATGAATTTTTAATCTTCAATAAATCCTGCTTATTACAGAAAATGTTGAGGTTAACTCCGGTTAAGGAGTAACCTCAGGTTATAGCTATTTATTGCTAGGTGTGTCGCTCGCTTTGGGTATAAATATACCCCCAAGGCCAAGGCTTCTTTGAAGTAGTATTGTGTATTCAGTTTAAGTAAAGCTTCTCGTGCACTTCAGCCGTGGACATAGCCTGTGAACCACGTTATATGATTGTGTCTCGTGTTTCTTGAATGATTCCTCGTTTTTCGTTCAGAAGTGGTATCAAAGCTAGGTTACGATTCGGAGTTGGATCGACAGTTTGTAAGTGTTCAGTTTTCTTCATCAACCGTTTGTAACTGTTCAGTTTTTTGCATCGACCGTTTGTAAGTGTTCAGTTCTCTGTATCGGCAGTTTGTAAGTGTTAAGTTTTCTGTATCGGCAGTTTGTAAGTGTTAAGCTTTCTGTATTGACAGTTTGTGAGGTTTTTTTTTCGTTTTTCTCTGAATCGACAGTTTGCAAGTTTTAGTTTTCTGAATTGACCGTCTGTGTAGTCTTAGAATCTACGGCTTATTTCAAAACTTTGTAAACAGCTTTTGAGAGTATCAGAAGTATCAATTTCAATTTCAAATTGCTAATTCTCAATTTGTGATCGAGTTTCTAAGTACTTTGACATCTGTTGCGACTGAGAAATCACAAAGTTCTCTCAGGTTTGGTTCTGCAGTAGTAGAAGCAGAGGAGAAATTGCTCGGATCGTGAAAAAACTTGAGAAGAATTGCTTTTGCATTCCAGGTATCGAGAGTAGAAGTCAAGGTGTTTTGGTTCTCAAGCAAAGAGTGGAAGGCTCTAGGAGCGGCGAAGGCGTGTCATTTTTCTTCCCTTCCTATGCAATTCGGTCACCTCCCCCCCTCCTCCCGAGCAGCGGGCTCCCGGAGCGGCAAAGGCGTGCTGTGCGGTTCTACTACCTCTCTCCTTCCGAGCGGTGGGCTCTCGAAGCGGCGAAGCCGTATTCCCTCCCTGTGCGTTCGTGTTGTGCAGTTCGGCCACCTACCTTCCTCCTAGGGGCGGGCTCTCGACGCGGTGAGGGCGTATTCCCTCCCTGTGCAATTCGGTTAACCTTTGCCATCTCTTCCCGAGCGGTGGGCTCCGGAAGCGGCGAAGCCATATTCCCTCCCTTAGTTACAAACTAGGTGCGTTCCCATCCGAACGGGCGGCTCCAAATTGGCGAAGCACCGAAGCGTCGAGCACCTCCCTCAAAGAAGGGGATCCCACCCCCAAGGCAGGAGGGTCCAATCCCCCTGCGCGGTACCGACTCGACCCTGACGGTCGTATCAACTTCAAGTCGGACGTTTTTTTTCTTTTTTTTTATACAAAAATTTTCTTTTTACCCCCTAGCGAGCGGCAAAAATTTTCCGAAGTTTAGGGTTTTTTTCGGTGCCTTCGCGTCAGGGGCAAAAGAATTTTTTCCCGAAAAAGTTATCGTATTCCGCCTACAAACGACGTGATTGTGGCGGACTTTGTTGCAAGTCCCGTGGTAGCAGTCCACGTGGTTCTAGTCATGTGGTTGCACTCGGACGTGGTTGGTGTACCGTCGTCACGGTTGACGTGGTCAGCAACAAACGTGGTCACCTGTGACAGCTCTGACGATCACGGACGACTATAGTTGCGGGTGACAAACATTGCAGTCGCAGGCAACGGGAGTCACGGGCGACGACAGTCGCGGGTGACAGATATTTACGTTGTGAGCGACGGTAGTCACGGGCGACGAGACTCGCGGGTGACGGATATAGTCACGGGCGACGGTGATCGCAGGTGACAGAAGGTATAAGTTGAGGGTGACGGCAGTCATGGGCAACGTTGATCACGGGTGCTCACACTATATCGCGGATAACAGTGGGTGCAGAGCAAATTCACGCAAAACAGCTGACAATGCACCCGAAGGACGAAATTGACGCAGCAACAGATAGTGTTTCTAGTTTTCGTCGAACTTAGATGGCATCGAAACAACTTGGAGGAACATGGTACAACATTCTTCCTCTTGATGGCCGAGGTGATTACCTGCTTTGGGAAAGGCAGGTGAAAGGCAAGCTGAGATCTATGGGTCTCGCTAATGTGCTTCGAGACAAACCATTGCACAATACCGACATTGATTGGAGGGATTCACAAGAGCAAGCAGTCTACATTGTGATGGGTTATCTAGATCCTTCGGTTATGAAGCAAGTTGAGGAGTATCCTGAGGTTACACAACTTTTTGATGCCCTATACAAACGGTTTCATCGGAAAGAAATCTCACATGTGATGAACATCTACATGAGGCTCTTGAACTTCAAGATGAGGTCGGGATCAAGGATTCAAGATCACATTCACGCCTACGGAGATTTCTTGGTAGATCTTCAAAGTATGGAAGAGGAGCTTTCTGATATTAAGAAAGCTATGCATCTACTCCACTCATTGCCTCCCTCTTACCAGACACTATTAAAGATTCTTCTTCATCGTGATAACAAGGCTGTAACTTACAACGAGGTTGTAAGTGCTCTCTTAGCGGACGAGGTGGAACAAGAGATGTTGTCATTCTCTAGCCCACTCCCTTCAAGTACTGCACTTAGTGTGATCTAGGGTCCGTCGCAACCATCGGGTCATGACAATTTGCAGCGTACAGGGTTCAAGCGGCAAAGATCCACATCCCCTGAACGCAGGAAAGTTCAGTTTCGGGTTCCATCCCCTAACAAGAGGAACTTGAAGAACTTGGTGTGTTGGAGATGTGGC